TTGTTGCAAACTTGAAAGTCCCACGCTGTTATGGTAGTATGGTTTGTCTGAACGGAAAACTGTACGTACTGGGTGGAGAAAGTCATTACACCCGAAGTGAACTAAGTGTTGAATGTTTTGACCCTGCAAATGACCAATGGATCCAGGAAACAACCATACCAGTGACAAACATTGACCCAGAAAATAACGACATATTCACTGGCTCTGTTCTGAAGCTTTCAAGAGAATTACTAGACAAACTTATGATTGTTGAGCAGTAGTCTCTCTGACACTTTACAGCTTTATAAGAATTAGTCATGTTGTTCATAGCAGACAGTTGGCACAGCCATTTTTTTTATTACCTTAATTTAGAAGCTCGCCCAAGGAAAGGCTGGGTTAAATCAAAGGTCCCCTCTTATTAGTCACCGTTTACTTTGAACCTTATACTTAAAATTCTCTCTGGGAGGGAAAACAAGCGTGAGTTGTTTTTCTTCTAAATTAGAACTAGGATCCTCCTGTCATCCTAATCTTTGTACCCTATGCCCTTTTGCTTGCGTTTATATTCAATCAGGGACCAATAATTAATTATTACTCGGGCCAACAGAGGGATTTTGGGGGATTAAACCTTTAACTCCCAAGATCTGATTGTCAATTCTCCCTGCTTGCTGCTACACATTTTCTTGTAAATTAGTTACAGGAATTTGCTGTTACATCAAGATAGCAACTTTTACCTGATAAGTTTGAGTATCCTCATTATATTTAGCTGGATAATGTATGATTCAAGGGTGACATTGTAAGGAGATATTAGATGCTAATCACTCTTGGGGATCAAAGGGTTAACTTTGTAAAATTACTTCAATGCATGTAAGAAAATAGTCATTTATTTAAAGAATGACATATAAGAAAATTGTTCAAAGCACAAAACAGAGAAGAGCTAGTTGTGAGGGCTTGAGCCCCACCCAGTTACAATTTCACTGTCAGATTATATTCTATCAGCTGAGCTACATAAAAGTAGTTGGTGACCCAGGTCACTGAATTTGAAGTAAATTTATGACAAGAAAAATGTTGTGCTTTGACTGCTTGTATTATAAGACAAAATGTACAGTGAAAGCTCTCTCCATAATCACTCCCCTAGAAAATGCAGTTTACAAGTATAAAATGGCAACTTTTAATTTACAGGCTTTCAAATACAAGTGCATGTATATTTTTATACTGAAATGCTACCAGTCCAAATAAACAGCTAACTCATGGTATAACCAATCCCATAGCATATTTGAGCCTTGGTGTTATGCCATGTCTTTACTTCTGAAATTTTTCATGGGGTTGGGAGGAAGCAGAGCAAATGATCATTTGTTAGAGGATTGGACTATTTATTGGGTTCATGAGTGACAGGCATCCTGTATTTTATGCTGTATTCAGTTAAATGGCTAAAATGTATTTTTATTTTAAGGATGTTTCTATAACAAGCTGAATTCAAGTGGGCTTGCTTAATTTAACCCTTAAACTCCCAAGGTCTGATTGTTCAGTCTATCCTCTAGTTACTACAAATTTCCTTGTATATTGGTTATGAGAATTTGGTGTTAGATCAAAAGAAAATTTTAACCTGATAAGTTTAATTATTCCTATTACCAATTTGCTAGATATTGTGTGGATATTCCAGGGAGAAATTACATGTTAATAACTTCTGGGAGTTAAAGGGTTTAGCATAAGTAAGTCAGATGGGACTCTAATCTGGATCAAATAAACTGACTTTTTTTGATTGAGCAAAACCTAATTAACATTTGTGAAAAGAAAACTCTACAAAATTGTGCTAAAATAAAACATGCCAATAGTGAGCACTATTTCTATTGTTTATAATTAGCATTTTTAAATTACAAACTTCAATTCCTCTTTCTAGAAGTTCTCAGATGTGTCAAGATGAGTGATGCTAGTACAAATATTTCCAAAACACTGGCTACTTAAAAAAACAGAAACAAAAAAATTAATATCAAAACAAAAATTAAAACATTTAGTTTTAGGAAAGAAAAATATTTTTTAACTTATCAAGGATTTGGTCTCTATGAGAGAAAAAAAGGCCAAGTCTTGTTGTTCTCTTGGCATAGCAACATTCTGCAGGGAAAATTTGATCGTTTTCCATCTTGACTTAAGTTGATATGAAAGTTCAGTCATTGTTCTATCTATGGGTAACCTTATCTATCTTTGATCCAGGGGATTCTATTACTGTCACATATTGTTTCTTCAGTGCATTTTCTTGAGGTTACTTTCTTTCATTTGAGTACAGTTTATGCCCAGTTATTAACTAACTAAATCCTCTTCTTCTGGATCAGCAAGATAATCCAATACTCTTCTGGAGAACCTTAGCACACAGCCTTTAA